GTTATATACCGTTGGAAAGGTAATTGTATATACCTTCTCATATAAGTTTTATTTTCAGGTTTCCGAGACACTTACACAATAATACGAAAAAAAGAAGACAATAGGTCATATATTAAAAATTAAAAAACCGCTGTTTCGAGTTACTAAACGCTAATTTTGATTGATACACAAGTTGCATCCCACTAAGCGACCACAAAGCTCTTAAAGAAAAATACCTAAGCTTTCTTTTGAGCAAAAAAAAATAAAAATAAAAATACCCCTTTTTGAAAAAAAACAAAAATTATTTTTTATTTAAAAAAAAAAATTAAAAAAAATTCATTTTAATTAAAAAAAAATAAAATTTGTAAAGACTGAAGAGAAATCTATCGAAAACATTCCTGAAAAAATTTTCTAAATACAATAGGTAATTAGTTATATGGATCCGAAAAAATGGCCGTTTGACCAAAATGTCAAAATTCTAGACCCTCCAACTCGGAGTGTGTTTGACCGATCCCATTGAAATTTTGTGTCATAACTACTATTTTTTAGGACTAACCCGATCGGAAGACATGCCCCATATACATATGTTCTTATATGTTCATCAGCTATAAACGGACCCAGTTAAAATCTTTTCAGTATTGTTAAAATTTTCGCCTTCCTTTTTTTATCAATAGACTACTAAACCTATGCCTAAAACCATGCTACGAATATGAAAACCACTTGCAACAAATGAGTTCATGCATATGTATGTACATACAAACTTGAGTATGGATAAATATAGGTACATAGTCGTATGCGTGCACGGAGTTTGCATTATCGGAAGTAATAATCATTTGAACCGCATTTCCTCTTACTTTGCATATGCCTATATGTATGCAACCATTTGCAATAGTAAGTAAACACAGGGTGCTTCTAATGAAATTAAAAATTGTCTGCTATTACACATGCTAAGCCCTTCGAGATTTTCTGCTGGGCTATGCGCTACAGCTTCGCAAATTTTACCCCTACCGAAACCAAAGATGTATACACATCAAAAACTAGAAGGAAAAATTATTGAACACAAAACTAGTAAAAACTTGCAAGTGGACAGTTGTTGCACTGTTTTGATATTCTGCTGTAAACATTTTACTATTTATAAATCAGTTTTAAACACTTTGCTTTACAGGCAAGCACTTACACAGACCAATGCATCATTAATATTTTGATTTCCATTCATTATACCCGAGCGCAAATGGTTCGGAACTATAGAAAAAGGGACGCAGAACGAACCAGATCTTATTTGTCGAATTTAGAACTAGTTCGGAGCTATCGAATAAGGGATGCAGCGGGGGGCTTGTTTACTTTACATAGATATGTGTTCTGCGGCTTTTTCGTTCGAATACACTTCTATTCTGCGCTTCGCAGATGCTTTCTCATAGCCTGGTAATACAAAACTAAAATTTGTGTTAACATTTCAACATCTTGGGACCGTCTGGAATCTAAGAAATAACAGCGAGCACCTCTGAAAACTCAGCTACAGCTAAAGGTATGTAAACGTACACTTCTTACAATCATTCAAACAAATTTAATTTCAAATTGAAAACACATTTCTTCCAAAATAATTTAAAATCGCACACACGGAAGAACCAAAAAGATTGAAAAATCATGATATTTTATCTTTCGTCTGTCGATTTTAGAACTGGTTCGTAACTATAGAATTTATGACTAGTTCGGAACTATCGAAAAAGGGATGCAGCGGGGGGCAATTGACACTTCCTAAGACATCGCCATGTTAAATTCGCCAGTTGCTTGCATGCAAAAGGGATTTAACGCGAACCAGTACTGGGCCTAAATGTACTAGAAGCGCACCAGTTCAGAACTAGAGATTTTCCCCACAGGGTAATGTTCGGTTTCGCCCGAACATATACTTCTTTACTTGTTTTGTTTGTTTATCAACTTCAACAAATGGCAGGTTTTGACAATTATTCTTGTTCTTCTTCTGCTATCTAATTTCTGCTAGTAAATATTTCACTGGCAAGAATTTGCAGCTCTCCCGTGTTATTACGCTCTCGATTCAGTGCTCTTTTGCAAATTTCCAGTACAAATTAGTACTGACTATTTGTTACTATACAACCTATTATAAATGTGAACGTTTGTATGTTTGTGTGTTTGGAAGTTTGGGGCTCCATCACGCGGAAACGACTGAACGGATTTGAACGACATTTTGCACACCGATAGCTAATGGCCCAGATTTAACAATAGGTTACTTTTTTAAGAGTTCCGACCTGTTGAAAAAGTTTAACTAAGCTAATAGTCACGCGGAAACGACTAAACGGATTGGCATGAAATTTCGCACACAGATAGCTTATGACCTAGACTGACAAAAAAGGCGACTTTTTTATTTTATTTATTTATTTAGCCAATGAATACAATAAAAATTCTTAAAGGCTAAGTAGAAGATAGTTTGAGATTATTAATACATAAC